CGCCGCCCGCCGCGCCCCGCCTTGGCTGAAGGGCTGCCTCCCTCCCCCACCCCAGCTCTCCCCGGAAAAGTCTCTCCAGAGACTGAAGGTGACTTCGGGATTATTTATTTGCCTTCGCTCGCCCGGGTGAGGGGCTAAACCCGGCTCTCACCCTCTGCCCCGCCCGCGCGCCCCGGGGCCAGGGGTGATGGAGTTGGCGGCGGTGGGAGAGTCTCCCTCCTGCTCCGCGGCCCCAGGTCGGTCAGTAGCCCCAGCTGCCGGGGGCGGAATTGGAAGTGAGGTGGAAGGAGAGTGGGAGTGTCACCTCAGGGGCCGTGCTCGGTGCCAGAGCTGGCTGCGGCTTGACAGAGCGCCCTGGGGCGGGCTCCACTCAGACCGTCAGCTCCAGTTCAGCTGACACACGCTCTTCCTTCCCCCGCCCCCTCCCCGGGTGGCCACGGGGCTGCTGGGTCCTGTGTGGTCCTGCTTCAGAGAGAGTCAGGGTTCCTGCATTGGCCCCTGGAGGCGAAGCCCTTCTGCCTCTGAGACACTCAGGACCTGACCATTAGGGCCGTGTGGGGGAGGCGTGGGGTGTCTCATGCACACCCTGGTAAGGTGACCCTCCATCTCTGGTGCCAGGGGCCCCCTCCACTTCTCCCATTCCCCGTTACTCCTCCTTGGCCTCTGCCTGCCATGGCCCCAGAGATGCCCCTTTGTATCCCATTGCAGAGCCTCAATCTCTGGGCTTAAATTGGACAGGGCCGCCCCCGCAGAGCCCTCTGGAAAGGCAGCAGGATTCGCTGTCCTAGTGCAGCTGGGAAAACAGACCCAAAGCAGGGGATAGATGACTTGCAAGCTGGAGGCTGCTGGAGATTTCCCTAGCTCCAGCTCCTGGCTGGGTGGTTTTCTGGACAGCATGGACTCAAGCAAGCAGACAGCCGGGGAACAAAACCATAGTTAGGCTATCCCAGAGAACCATCTGGGTGTGTGTGTTGGGGGGGGGGTGCATTCTGGGCCAATTGCTCTCCCCCTTTGGCTCACTCCTCCACGTATCCATGAGGGTGGGTTTTCCTATCCACCTTGCTTCTGGAGCTGATGGAGAGAACACAGGTATCATATAGATAGACCCCACTTTAAGCCACCCAGCTGACGAAACATTACCAATTAGGGAGTGATTAGCCCCATTATCAAATTCTCTTGTAAATGGAAGAATCTTCCTCTTAAGAAGCAAGTCTTGTGTACACTGGTTTTTCTGTGGGTTTTATATAGGATGGATGCATGGGGGATTCAGAAAATCTTAAGAAAAAGCTCAAGATCCTTCCTGATTCTGCCTCGAGGTTTAATTAGAAATCTAGCATGGTGTTTTTCTGTTTTCTTTCTTTCTTTTTAAAAGCATTTTGACTTACAAAAGCTCCCTTACCTGGAATTTTTTAGGAACGTGTGTAGTGCAAAGAACAGGAAGGGGGGATGAGGATAATTCTGGATGGCAGGTTGGCGTGTCAGGTTTTGTGAAAACAACAGAGATCCACACCCAGCTGGGCCCTGTCTTCCTCACTTGCTCTGCAACCTCCCTCACAGCTCCTTACCTAACCAGGAGCTCTGAGCAGGCAGTGGAAAGGGTCCTGGGGCAGGAAACGGGCTCACAGGAAAGAAGAATGATATTGGTAACAGTAACAACTAACTTCACTGAGCTCTTGCTCAATGCCCGGCACTGTTCTTAGTACCTCCCTTGTATTGACTCATTTGTCTTCACCGCAACCCTACCGATTAGTACGATTTTATCTCTATTTTGTGCATAAGGAAGCTGAGGCACAGAGAGGTTAAGACACTTGCCCCAGGTCACACCACACAGCTATTAAGTCAGGATTTGAACCCAGGCATTTGTCTCTAGAACCAGCTACGTGGGAAATGGCTCTTGCTTTATGAGTAGTCAGCTTGAACTGTGTAGGGTGCAAGTTACACCCTGTCCTTACCAGGAACGGGCATATGAGCTAGGGATTCCTGAGCTGACACTCCTGGGAAGGAAACCCGGGGCCTCTGGAACTTCCTGCTGGGATCTGAGGGTGGGGGTAGGGTGCGATGGAGGGCATAAGTCCTATCAGTTCACGTTCACATTTAAATTCGGATCTTCAGTCCTCCTGCCCTCAAAACAAAATGTCAGAAAGAACCCTTTCCTTTGGCTAAGAGCAAGGTGGACTTCAGGGGGAATGGAGGATGTGTCAACAGGGGTGGCCTGTGTGTCAACAGGAGTCACTACCCAGCTAGGACCGGACAGCTCCATTTCTCAAAACAAACAGAAACCCCAGTAGCCCCGAAAGCAGCCACAAAGCTTGACTCCTTGGCGCCTCGCTACAAGTTCAAATGCTAATACCCCCACCCCCACCCCCACCTGCTTTTCAGCTTAAGTGATTACCCGCTCGCTCGTGCTCGTGCACCAGGCTGGTACTTGGGGGAGGGGGCGGTGGCAGCGTTGCTTTAACAAATGGCAAGAGCCTGCTGCCGTGGACAGACTCGAGGGAGAGGCATGGGCAGCCCAAGTCACGTCCTGCCTACTGCTTGGCCCAGGCTGAGGACCAGGGCTGAAGAGGGTTTCTGGACTCCTCCATAGGGACATGCATTGAAGGGTCTGTGCGTGGACAGCCTTGGATGTTAGAGTGGGACAGAACGGGACAGGAGCTCTCTGCTCAGGGTAGGATCAGTCCCCCCTACCACCCCC